CCAGGATGGGGTTTCTGGAGACAGAACAAATTAGACATCCTTCAGAGAGCTGAGCACCCTACCTTGACCTGGAGCCGCCCCGGACCCAGCAGAAGACACTCCGCCCGCCTCCTCAGCCCCTCTCTGCTACTTCTTGGCTCTAATGAAGCTGAGTTCCCTCCCAGTCATGCCTTAGCCCACAGCTCAGTTCTTTGCTCAGATTCCTTCCCTCTCTGGACCTAAGTTTCCTCATCTGTGAAATGGGAATAGTAACACCCACCTCTGCCCATCTTCCTTGGGCCAGAGAAGCAATGCCAAGGCACAGGGGGGACTTTTGTCTACCCAAGCCTGGAGATTCCTCTCCATTGGAGAGTGTGGGTCTTCTTAACTCCAGAAGAGCTCTCACCTTTCTGGCTGACTTTGTGAGTGAAGGGAGAGGAAACAAGACTCCCAGGATCCCACATACACAGCCACCTCCCCAAAAAGCTGATATATCGGGTATTCAAAGGGCAGAACCCTCCATGCCCAGGTACAAGCAGAAGATGAGGCCTACTGAAGGGCGGGGCCTCCCCAATCGCATAGCTGGCAAAGCCTGAGTCAGGCCCTGATTTGCTAGCCCAGACCAGGTACCAGCCCCCTTGTCCTGCCAGATGTGGGCAGAACAGGTACCTTAGGATTCTTAGAGACCTTGCCCCCATCCCCAGCATCTTGGGACCTGAATCTGAACAGGTTTCCAAGTTTCCCCAACTAGAAAAAATAAATTCCCCACTCCACAGCCCTGCCCCCCTTCTTCCTACCCACCTTCCTCTGAGGCCCCATCCCCTCCCCTCTCTTCTCCCTCCTCCCCTGCTCTGTAGCCCTCTCTGCTGGGAAAACTTTCTTGCATCAACCCCTCCTAGCACAAGACATCTGAAGAGGTGGTAGAGTACAGTGATTGAAAGCACAAGCTTTAGGGCCAGAAAAGCCTCAAATCACAGCTCTGCCCCTTGGCTGGGCGACCTTGGGCTCTTCATTTAGTCTCTAAGCCTTATCTCCTCATCTGGGAAACGCAGCTATAAATGTCTGGCTCTAGGATTTGGGGAGAATCGCATGAAATCACAGATTAAAGTGCCTGGCACAGAGGAGGTGCTTGGCAAATGCCAGTTGGCATCTGACTTCCTGGTACTACATCTCACTGTGTCTTAGCTTTCTGCTGTACTTAGGTGGATGAGGGTGAGAGATGAGGGTGGGAAGAAGAGAAAAAGCAATGGCAGCAGCTTTAGAAGACTCCTGCTCACTTAGAAGAGATAAAGCCAGAGCTACAGTGGGAGAGACTCAGGTTAGCCCCAAGAGGTACTTCCCCATTCTGAGACCCAGGAGGAAGCCACATTTCAAAGGGCCCACCTGGTCCCGTCTGTTCCAAGGCTCATGTCCTCATCCTAGAGGCAGCTCTAAGGCAGCAGTGGCTGCTCTGTCTGGGGAGCAGTGGGGGAGGTGAAGAGTTCACAGGGCCCACGGGCTATGGGCAGTGGGCCTCCCACCCAGCCCCTGTGCCCTGGCCCAGCCCACCATGGCCACATAAAAGGTGACGGATGGTTAATGGGGGAGATAACAGGATTCATAAGGGAAATTTATCGGTCACTCTGGTGATATAAATATGTTTATAGCAGACCAAGGGGAAATGAAGAAACCCCAATAAATCACTACGAAGCCACCAGCCACTAATAGGCCAGTGGCTGCAGGAACCCCAGCATTGGCGCTTGCAGACACCCCCTCTGGCTGCCCAATAATGGCATGGCGGGACTGCACAAGTCTGCATGATGGGAACAAGTCTGCATGATGGGAACAAGACCCCAGGGGCTGTCTCTGCTGGACCTGAGCTGTCCTGCCCACTGTGTGGCCACCCCCTTAGTGGATTTGGGCTCAGTCAGACTGAAAGGGCTGAGAGAACAGGGCAGAGGGTGCATGGGCCAAGTCTGGGAGGCCCCGTGGTTGCAGGGCTCTGGAGTCTGGCGTGGCTTCAAAACTTGGCGCTGCCAAGTCCCAATCCCTGCCCATCTTTGGGTTTCCTTGTCTACAAAGTGACTTCACAACCTCAGAAAGCTGTTGGGAGAAAGAGAGAGATAATCCACTAATCATAGTGCTTAGCACCTTGTAAGCCTCAATAAAGTGTAGCTATTCTTCTTACTTTTGGCAGGATCGGTCCCACTTGGGGAAAGTGCTATGCAGATGTGAGAACATTCATATAAAAGAGATCATAGTGGATAGCATTGTCCCCATTTTATAGATAAGGAACCTGAGGTTCAGAAGTCAAGAGGCTTGCCGAAGGTCACACAGCTAGAAGAGAAAGGCTCTGTTTGATTCCCAAGCCCAGACTTTTCCATCTGCCCCAGTTTAGACCTGCTCCTTCCTCAGAGTTCCTGGGGGTCCCTGTCCCCATCCCCTCCAGAAGAGGCCTAGGATTCGAGGGGCCCTGAAATACTAAGGGCAAAGCCCTAGGGGCTCTGAGAGCAACTTGCTAGTGCTAGTGAGCTAGGTCTCAGCTGCCCCTTACCCATCCCTACCTCCCCTGCCCTGCACAGCAAGGGCCTGACCCTGCTACTGCCATCTCACCCCAGCACTGAGGGCGCTTGAAGCCTTCTATGTGATCTGCACAGAGTGCTTTACACTACTAGGCCTTTCCCTCCAAACTCTGGGCATTGGTCACAGCCTTAGGCCAGGCAAAGGTGCCCTCTAGCCCAGCTCACGTCTTCATTCTTACATTCAACAATTACTTAAGCAGCTCCCTCTGGATACTGACCAATACTGCCCTAGGTGGGCCAGGGCCTGCCCTTGTGGTACTGTCTGGTGGAGAAGTCAGGCCTGGATCATGGAATAGAATGGAGTGTGTGGTGAGGCTAAGGCAGGCACAGCAGCTGGGGAGGCCCAGAGTCAAAGAATGAGTAGTAGCCAGCAGGACAAGTATTTCCAGAGGAGGGAACAGCTTGGGTGAGAGCTGGGGGGAGGGGGGGGGAGAACAACAGGGCTTCCTGAGACCACTGGGGTTAGTTTCGCCACTTCTTTCTCCATGCTGAGAGAGACATCCCCCCATCAGGCTCTATCCTCACGGTCCCTGTTCCTCACCCCTCCTCCCTTTTCTCACCTCCGCTGTTCGTCTCAGTTCACACTGGGCAATGCTGCAGCCTGCTCCCCATTTTCCTGCCAGGACAGTCCTCTCTGCAAACTATGTTCCCCACCTCTGAGCCCCAGATCTATCCCCTAGTGCTCCAGCCAGGAGTCCAGCCCCCCTCAGCCCTGGATGGCTAGGGTGCCTACACCGACACTTGGGGAGGGGAAACAGGGCCTTTGAAGTCCTGGGGGTGGGGGGGCCCTCACCTCTACCAGCAGAGAAGAGGGACACAAGGGGCAGCCTTGGCCTGGTCTGATTCTCTGCGCGTTGCTTCTCTCTCTCTTCTCTCTCTCTCCCCCCCCCCCCNGCACAGACAGGAGCTTACCTGATTTCTTGCCCTTCACAGCAGAGGCAATTCCAGGGTAGCGCAAAACCCCACCCCACCCAGAGCCAGCTCAGCACCTGAAGGGCAAGGCCTGCTTGGGTGCCAAGGAGGCTTGAGCACCCAGCCAATGCTCTCCCCGAGGGCTCAGTACACAGGAATAGGAGCTGCTTCAACCTTTCCATGACTCACTACTGCTCATAGCATAAATTTTAATCTCTTTGACTGCCCTTCAAGATTCTAAAGTATCAGCTTCCTTTCCATGCACACATATTGCTCCAGGCAAAGTAAGTTGCTTACAGTTGTAGTCTTCTAGACTCTACACCATCTCTACATCTCTATCCTTCAAAACCAAGCTCAAATGCTGCCTCTTCCAGGAAGCCTTCCCTTTCCTCGCCCTGTCTCTGAAAGTTTAAAGTCTAGGCTGTTAATAAATCTCTGTTGAAGAAAATGTTGGCTTCATCCTGTGAATGCCTACAAGCTTTGACCCTCTTTTAGAGCCTGGATTACTTTCTGACTAAGCCATTTGGATATCTAAGAGCATAACAGGGACAGGGGCTGGGTCTGAGAGTGTTCTGTGTCCCCAGCACAGGGGTCACCACAGGCAAGGTACTCAGAGTGGGGATGAAAGATGGGTGGATGGATGAATGAAGGTAAATACGGATTGATGGATGGCTAAATGAGTAGATGGATGGGTAAATGAATGAATTGATGAATGAATAAGAGAAAGATTAGATAAATAAATAGAGGTGCAGATGACTAAATTAATGAACTAATGAATTAATGAATGAGTGGAAGGTCTATTCCATTGCCACCTGTACCAGACATGGTATATTTTGCTGTGACTGAGGCAGGAGTTATTTGAAGCCCTCCTATCTTCACTCACTTCCCCTAGTACTAAGCTGAGTGAGTGAGAGTTAATGTGGGAGCAGTCCCCTGTGCTCCTCCAGACCCCCAGTTCCTCTAGGCTGGGTTGAGCTTCCCCCCACCCCCATCCCAGCATAACCACTAAGTGCCTGAGGCAGTATCCTGTGGTCCNGGGGGGGGACCTCAAGAGAGTTCAGATAAAGGGAAGGTCATGGGGGAGTTGGAGGGATCAAACAAGGCTTCCTGGAGGAAGTGGCATTTGACACAGGGCTTGAACGACAGTGATAATGTTCTAAGGGAATGGTATGAATGGGGGCACAGAGGCAGAAGTGCAAGCTGCACTCCTACTGGCAAGAAGTCTCCAGTTTGCAAAATGAGGGAGGCTGTGCTATAGCAGAGCCAAGACAGAGAACACTGTGGAGGGTTTCAGGAGGTGCTGTCAGGTCAAGAAAATAGCACTTTGTGGGCAAAGCACTGGACTGTGAGCTAAGGTCTGGGTCCCACCTAGTGTCTAAACTGACAATTCCTTCGGCCTTGCTCTCTGGGACTTTCTCTAGACAGCAGTGGGAGCTATGGCAAGTTCTTAATCAGGAAAGTGCCTAGGAGTCACAGCTCACAGAACAGTCAAATCATCAAATCTAACTCTCTCAATTTGTAGATGGGAAAATGGAATCCAGAGAGGGGACGTAACTTGCCCAGCACAGCAGCCAGGGGCGGAACCAGGACTTGGACCCAGGTCTCCAGCCTCTTGATTTGGGACTCATTCCCTTCTGCTGCAATCTTGGATGGAATCTGGGGGACTGAGCTGGAAGAGAACAGCTGGAGGCAGAAGGCCACCAGGAGGCTACAGCCCCACCTAGATCAGAGACCACAAGGCTGGCCAGTCAAAAATGTTTATTGAGCCCTTCATCCTACTCCCCATCTTGGACTGATCTGAGCCCATGGATTGAGCACCCAGAGGGACTACAAAGAAAAAGAATCTGGTGGGCTTCCAGGAGGAGGAGATATGAGGCAGATATGATTTTCATAAGAAGGAAGCGGCATTGAGAGCAGACTTGGATGAGAATGTAGGAAGGTCTCCAGGAGACAAAATGGCCCATCACTTGGGTCCCCTCGCATTCTTGGTCAAGGTCTCCACCTCCTTCATGAACCAAAGACACAGCTCCTCTTCCCATGGCAAAGCAATGCACTGCACAGCTACCGGAAGTCCCGCGGACTCTCTCACCACCTGCCGAGAGAGAGTGTCTGTCGATCAGAGCTTGCTTGCTGCTCACAGGACCCTTGCCCAACCTTCCTCACCACCTGTATCCAAATATCTCATCCCCAATCTATGTTAAGGTAGAGATGTCCTGGATCTCAGAGTTCCAGGCTTCCTTAGCTCTCTGTGAAATCTGGAAAAACTGTTCTGATTTTATTTGTCTGCAATTCTCCAAGGTTAAGATGTAAAACTTGCTTCTCATGCAGAGAGCTGACTATAAGGATGAAATATAAATGTTTCATTGCAAAGCAAACATTTATCTGCACAATATTCTTAGCAAAGGAAAGAAGAATGTGCAAATCCCTGATTCAGAGTCTGGTTACACTTCTGCAGTGAAAAGGGTGCCTTGACCCTAAACACAGGCTCAGGAATATGGGGGCTGAGCCTGAGTCCCTGTCATGAAATCCAAACATACTTGTAGGAATTTAAACATGTTTCATTGCTTTATGATGATGACATCATACAAACCCTTATTTGCCTTTGTCCTTGGAGCCAGGTCACATGGCTTCAAGTCCTGGCACTTCCGTTTCAATTGGCTATGTGACTTTGGTCAAGTTTAAATAAAATATGGCTTTATAGTCATATAATATATATTAAATGGCTTTAAATAGCTCCTGGAACTGAGTAAGAGCTCAAGACACATTAGATACTATCATTGTTGTTACTGTCTCACAATTCAGGTCAACAATTCCACTTGGTAACTATGGTACTAAAATCAATTTCCAGAAAAAGTTAAGTTACTTAATGGCTGACTCAGACACATGCATACTTTTCAGAGTTAGGCGCTCTCTCTCCCTCTCTCTTTCTGTCACCCAAGTCAGGGTGGTTATTTTAGACCCTGCATTAAATAGGACTAAGGAAATATTTTATTTTGGTAAACCACCTTTGAATTAGTAATAGTAGCATTTAGTGAACACTTACCACATACAACGCCTTATACTTCACTTTTTGGGGGAGGGTGCGGGGGGTGGGGGGGGCGGTTAACCTTTAACATAGCCCTGCAGGGTAGATTCTTCTAACTCCCATTTTTTCTGGCAAAGGAACTGAGGCTCAGAGAGGGGCAGCGTCCAGTCCAGTTGTACAAGAAGCTCCTAACCAGGGGCCTTTGCCCTGCTCCACCTTCCTTGCCTCTGGAATCTACCTTCCCTACAGAGATGTCAGGAAGACGACTGTTTTTGTATTCTCCCCTGACAAGGACAGAGGCTGACTTAGAGGTCAAATAGTGTGTCCTCAGGGATGGGGTGAAATTGTAGCAGAAGTAATAAAGGATAAACACTGGGAGCGCCAGGCCCCACCCCATCACACTCCAACCCGCCCACCGGGATTGAGGCAAGAATCAATCCTGGTCTGTGCCCCTGGGAGAGAGGGAAATTTACCTCCTGGAAATTTCTATCAGATCTCCGTAGTATCCCTTGTGGAAGGTCAGTTCTTCCTCATCCTGTACTGTCACGGTGGTGACCGGCACCAGGCCGACAGGGAAGGTCAGCAGGTTGTATAGGGCCATGTAAGAGACGCTCTCTGTAGAAAGATCCAGATAAGCCCAGGAAATCAACAGCTCCGAAAGACTCAAGGGTGGGGGTGGGGGTGGGGGATGTGGGTAAGCGCCCCCTCAGGGTCTTTCTCGGAACTGCAGCCCTCTGAGCTCGCAATAACCGGTGCAGTGCGGTGAGTGGCCTGACAACTGCCTCTGGCTCTCCCCACAGGTGGAGGGAAGGAGAATTAGTATTGTCCAAGCCTTACTGTATTGCTGATTCTTTGAATCCTCTCCACCCCTGTGAGGTGGGGATTACTATTCCCTGAGTACAAACGATGAAACAGAGGTGGCAGACAGATTAGGTAGCTTTTCACAGGCTACACAGCTAGTGGGTGGCAGAGGATTCAGCCCATGCCCTCCAGTACACAGGGCTCCAAGATGGCTGGGGTATGCAGTGCAACCCTGAACTGAAAAAGCAGCTCCATTGCAGCAGCCACCTGTGTGCAGGAAGTGAGCATCAAAGAAGTGACAGTGATGTTGACATAGGACATCAGAGTAGAGCCAGGCGTGGGATGTGCCTTTGGGCAGCCACTGTGGGGGGACCAAGGGGAGAGGAGTCCAGGCTTGAGGTGGGTTTTCATTCTGC